ATATTTGACCTACTTATGACCGGTCAAAGGTCAAATTTTCGGAAAAATCTAACTTTTTCAGACTTCCGCGCCGATTGCGGCAAAACGGTCAGAGATATCGACTTGAAACCTTCACTATCGTGATCCTTGATCAATTCTCTATCGTTTGGTGTGTATTTCGATGTCATAACTCTAAAAATGATGCGTTGGGAGCATCGGAAGTCTGCAAGGTCATTTGTGCATTGAGTCACGTCAGGCGTGTGACGTCACTGACCTGACCCTGACCCAAAATGAACTACAAGAAACATCCGACGATGCCTGAAATGGATAGCAAGTTCGAATTCAGGGCATCAAAATACCCCGAAAAGGCCTACAAGTGCAAGAAGTCATTATATGTCAATCGAGGTCACTGACCTTACCTTGACCTTTAGTAACCTTCAAAATGTCAACGGACATTGTGCCAATGTCAAATCAGCCAGTTGTGATTCTAAAACAATCCATCAGTGTGTCAGGTCAGTCGGCATTTATACCAATGTGAAGCAATCTCAAATTTAGCGTAAATTTGGCTGGAGGTTGTTTCCTTTATGACGTCATAACTCCGTGACCTGACATGACCTTGACAAAAACAAAAGTTGCGCAAAGGATGCCCCAAAGGGTACTGAAAATTTGAGCAGGCTATCTGAAACGGTTCGGCGTGTAGCTAAGAAAAACCTCAGGGGGGGGGGGGGTTGCATCAACCCCCCCCCACATGGGCGAGGGTTAACCCTCGCCGGACCTATTGGTTTTCTACATACGCGCCGGCCGAGGGGGGGGGGGCGGGTACGACCCCCCCCTCGCCGTTTCGCCCCTGGTGGAGCTAGCGCGTCGGGGAAAAAACGAGCGTGTGCGCCGTTACGAGACGCAGAGATTGGTACCCGATTTTAAGGTCCTAGGTCATCCGGTGACCTCTGAGGTCAGGTCAAGTGCCTCAGGGTACGGTTCAGTTTTTGGTGAATAACTTCGCAAAAAACGGCCGCAGAGCGCCGATTTTGGCAGCATCGTGTTCGCCTCGCTCAGGCGCGTCGAATGATATACTTTTTGTCCGGGTCAGGTCAACTTGGGGTGTTGACCTCAGGTCAAGGTCAGGTCAGCACCCCCAGGTCACGAAGTTGGTCGAAAGAGGTCATGTCGCATATCATTCGATTCGGCAGGCCTTCCTGAGTCCATTGGTGCCTTTCCCGACTCGCTAGCTCAATTTGATCAAGAGTTATTGACGAAAAACTAATTTGACCTTGATGACGTCATAAATGACGTCACGCAAGGTCAACATTGCAAAAGTGACGCATCTAACCTTGCAAGGAGTGCATCAAATCACGATTCTGTGTGCTTGAGATAGTTGGAGATCGTTCCCGGCGCCAGAATAGCAGTTTGAATTTTTCCCCATTGACTTATAATGGTGAGGTCACGAAAATGACCTGACCTCATATGACCTTTAGGAAAAATCCGAGATATACAAGTTGTGGGACTCATAATGGATACTAGATCCTGCAAGTTTCATTTCCCTGTGACATCTCCTCTGGCAGTGAGGGCGTTGCGAAGTTGCGACATCTGAAGACCGTGCAGAGGTTCACTTATGACGTCATAGGTCAGTGACCTGACCTGACCCAAAAATGCGGTTGGTGTCAAAAGATCCGGCTTGGATCAAAGGTCAGGTATGCCAAGTTTCAGCTCTCTATCGCCAGCGTGTTCGGAGCTATCGCGAAAAAACCCTATGGGGGGGGCGGCACCCGCCCCCCCCTCGGCCGGCGAGGGTTAACCCTCGCCCTGGCAGGGGGGGGGGGGGGGCGATGCGACCCCCCTAAGGTTTTTCGAAGATAGCGTAAAAACGTCGGCACGCAGCGCCGCCAAATTTGGCACAGCCTATGGGGCAGCCTTTTCACATATGACCTGAAAATTTCAGGTCCGGGTGACCTTGGGTCAGGTCACCAGGTCAGAAAAACCGGTACAAGGTCATGGTCAAATTTTAATTTTCTTTTTGCACCTGTCCAACTCACAGTTTTGGACTGATTTCCTTCAAACTTTCAGGATGTGCTAAGTTCACCGAATTGTATAACATATAGTTCGGGTTTTTTGAGGTCACTGACCTGAGGTCAGTTAGAGGTCATTATGTCGTAATGTTAAGCCTATTGGAAAATACTAAATTCGGAAAATACTGGAGATATCCGCTTCGTTCTATCACTTTTGTGCTTTGAAACTACAGTACTTAACAGCAGGTCACTTGGTGCTTCTTTGTTTGGTGTACAATTGTACATATCCATGGGTCAGGTCAAAACAGGTCAAATGAGGTCAAATGACGTTTTTGCCAAAAACTTGGCACATAATGACGCTAGAGCTTAAAAATGGTATCATTGTGTTCCTGGTGATCAGCCGAATCGAATGAAATGCAATATGATGCAATTTGGTTAACTTGAACTTAATTTATTAATTTAACCCTCGCCGGACCTATTGGTTTTCTACATACGCGCCGGCCGAGGGGGGGGGGGGGGGCGGGTACGACCCCCCCTCGCCGTTTCGCCCCTGGTGGAGCTAGCGCGTCGCGGAAAAAACGAGCGTGTGCGCCGTTACGAGACGCAGAGATTGGTACCCGATTTTAAGGTCCTAGGTCAACCGGTGACCTCTGAGGTCAGGTCAAGTGCCCCAAGGTACGGTTCAGTTTTTGGTGAATAACTTCGCAAAAAACGGCCGCAGAGCGCCGATTTTTGGCAGCATCGTGTTCACCTCGCTCAGGCGCGTCGAATGATATACTTTTTGTCCGGGTCAGGTCAACTTGGGGTGTTGACCTCAGGTCAAGGTCAGGTCAGCACCCCAAGGTCACGAAGTTGGTCGAAAGAGGTCATGTCGCATATCATTCGATTCGGCAGGCCTTCCTGAGTCCATTGGTGCCTTCCCCGACTCGCTAGCTCAATTTGATCAAGAGTTTTTGACAAAAAACTAATTTGACCTTGATGACGTCATAAATGACGTCACGCAAGGTCAACATTGCAAAAGTGACGCATCTAACCTTGCAAGGAGTGCATCAAATCACGATTCTGTGTGCTTGAGGTAGTTGGAGATCGTTCCCGGCGCCAGAATAGCAGTTTTCATTTTTCCCCATTGACTTATAATGGTGAGGTCACGAAAATGACCTGACCTCATATGACCTTTAGGAAAAATCCGAGATTTACAAGTTGTGGGACTCATAATGGATACTAGATCCTGCAAGTTTCATTTCCCTGTGACATCTCCTCTGGCAGTGAGGGCGTTGCGAAGTTGCGACGTCTGAAGACCGTGCAGAGGTTCACTTATGACGTCATAGGTCAGTGACCTGACCTGACCCAAAAATGCGGTTGGTGTCAAAAGATGCGGCTTGGATCAAAGGTCAGGTATGCCAAGTTTCAGCTCTCTATCGCCAGCGTGTTTGGAGCTATTGCGAAAAAACCCTATGGGGGGGGGCGGCACCTGCCCCCCCCCCCTCGGCCGGCGAGGGTTAAGTTTACTTAAAATTTAAGAAAATCTTTAACCCTATTCCTGGCGGGCTCCGCCGGGACAAGAAACTGGCGGGGGGGGGCCGATTCGGCCCCCCCTGAGATCTCGAGAACGAAGCAAGATAGCGACAAGCGGTAAACGGCATCGGATACGCATGGACAAGGTCTACAATTTTTACTAAGGTCTTTTTCAGGTCAGGTCAAAGATGACGTCACAGGGGTCGAAAAAGTCAAAATGGCGGCGCTAGATATGGAGAGTTTTTCTCGAATAACTTTCGAATTAGTCAAGATAGGAACAAACTAAGGGCATCATCGTGATCCTCTCGTCAATCCGCATCGAATGATATATATGTTGACCTCGAAAGGTCAAGGTCAAAGGTTGACCTCAGGTCACGTGACCTCGAGGTCATCATGTATATCATTCGATGCGTCTTGACGAGCTGAACACAATGAGACCATCCGCGCGTCTGTATCTTGTTCCTGTACGGAGTTATTGGCCAAAAACCTTTGGTGACCTTTGATGACGTCACATGACCTCACAGCTGCCCAACAGCAAAACAGACCTCAAGGTAGTGAAGGTTGATCGTATATGATGTCATGTATGGTATATGGGGCCATTCCGACCCGTTTTAGTGGTAAAAACAGGGAGTTGATTTTTTCCCCATTGACTTATAATGGGGAGGTCGCGAAACTGACCTGACCTTAGGTCACCGATATCAAAATTCCGAGATATACAAATTGCACATACTGGTACCCTAACTAAAGCCTGAAGAGAAGAAATTGATCGGTCAAAAACTCTAGCTCTGGCGTGATTGCAAACTTTTCTGAGGTAGGGTCACCAAACCGCCTCTGGTGACCTGACCAGAGGTCAGATCAACTCAAAATTTTCAGACATGTTGCGTAGAAGCCTTTTAGGAAAAGTCAGAAACTTTCAGCTTCCTAGCTCAACGCGTTTGGGAGAAATAACCAAAAAAACTCAGGAAGGGCTCCTGAGGCCCCCCCGCCAGGAATAGGGTTAAGTACACTAAAGCAAGCTAAACAGTATATCTTTCAACGCGCCTTGACGTGCTGAGTTCACTGGTGCTTTTCTTTTTTCTCTATCTTAATTAGATGAAAAGTTATAAGCGAAAAACTTTTGACCTGTTTTTAGCGAAATTTTTACATTTATACCCCACAAAACCCCTAAATATTGACCTAGAGCAACCAAATTTGCACAGGGGCGAGAACTCTAGGGGGCCCACCTACCTACTAAATTTGGTGTTTCTAGGTGCCATAGGAGCCAATTGCGATGGGGGTCGATGCGACCCCCCCCCTGCCAGGCCATGTTATGAAAAATGCCCTTCCAGGGCGAGGGTTAAATAACGGTGTTAAGTGTAAACTATTGCGTAGATGTCGGGCATCTTTGGACAAATGGCTGGCTTGGACATTTTTGGACAAACAGTCGACGTAAGCCCTGGACAATGGACAGACATTGGACATATGTTTTCTAAAATAGACATCCCTAGTTCGGAGCCTCACCCATTGGTCGGGGCCGGGGTGGCCGCAGCGCCGGCATCAGTCGATCCAGTGGCGGCGGCCGGTGGTGCTGACGGGACCGGGGTGGCCGCAGCGCCGGCATCAGTCGATCCAGTGGCGGCGGCCGGTGGTGCCGACGGGGCCGAGCCGGAGCTGGCCGGCTCAGGCGCCTTGGGGGCGGACGAGTTGGCCGGAGTAGGTGGCTTGGCCGCGGCGCCGCTCTCGCTGGAGGCCGGCTTAGACGCGGCGCTACCGAACGACGGCCATCCACCGAACACTGGGGATCCGGAGCCGAACGGAGACGACTGGGCACCAGAGGCCAAACCAAAGCCGCCGAACAGAGAGGCGGGCTTGGAGTCAGTCCCGGAGCCGCCGAATATCTGGTCTTCTTTGGATGTCTTGTCGCCGGTGGTCGCCCCACCGAAGAGAGATACGGCTTTGTCAGTTCCCTTTCCTCCGAACACCGATGGGGTACCAAAGATGGACGTGGTTTTGGTTTCGGAAGAGGGCATTCCTCCGAATATAGACGCAGGTTTGGTTTCAGTTGACGACGCTCCTCCGAAGATCGAAGTTGTCTTGTTACCCGATGAACCTCCAAATATTGACGTGGTCTTTGTGTCCGCTGCCGCCGCTCCTCCGAAGATCGCGGATCCAGACTTGTCGGCGTCGCCGCCGAATGAGAATTTGAACGGCGACGAGGCTGCGGACGAGACGCCGAACTCGAACGTGGCCTTGGGAGTCGCCTCGACGACCTTACCCTGGTCGCCGCCGAACGCAAACCAAAACGGGGTAGCCTTGAAATGGAAGGAGCTGTTGGGGGTGGCCGCTCCGGCGCCGGCGGCGGGGGTGGAGGTCACGACGCTGGAAGTGGTGGTATTGGAGACCGCGGCGCCAGAGCCAGAGGTCGAGCTGACAGGTCCCTCCTCCGTGGTGTTCTCGCCCCTTGCCTGCGATGGAAAACGGTGCAGGGGCGGCTTTAGTTCAGATATCCAGTTGAACACATCAGTAGTTGAACACATGAAAATACATTATAAAATAAAGGAACAATGACAAGGCCAAGGGAACACTTAGCCCTCGCTGGACCTTTTATATTTTCTACATACTCGCACGTGCCGGCCGATGGAAGGGGGGGTACGAACCCCCTCGCCGTTATGCCCCTGATGGAGCTCAAGAGCGTTGCGGAAAAAACGAGCGTGTGCGCTGTTACCATACGCAGTAAATGATACCCGATTATAAGTCCGCGCCCCGCTGGGGGTCCTGGATTTCCAAGCCCTGCTGGGGAAGGGGGGGGGGCTCCCCCAGCACTCACCGCACCCGGCTACGGGCGGTGCTCGGCTTACGGGCAATCCCGCATGGGATAAAGTTGCCCGTCCAGCCCGGATCAGGGGGTTGCGGCGTGGAGGAGAAGGATTTGACTATCCTGAGGATGGAAACGATGGAACGGTGCGGATATCGATGGAGGCAGATACACTGTAAAAAAAGTTTAGCATTTGGGGTACTAACGGCTGCTATTCGTAGCACCTTTTAGCGTCAAAAGAACCCTACGACGTATTTACAAAGAAGCATGGTGCTAATACTGTGCTAATGATAGCTAACATTCCCATCAAATATTATAAGTTTAGATCACCTATTCTTCTACTGAGCTTAACGTCTACTTCTGCTAGTACCCAGTCCATCAGTGAGTGCTCTTTCAAGCTGGATTTCTAATTAGAACCATTTTAAGTGTTTTAGAAGTTGGTAATGCTGAATATGGTGCTTACGTTAGTATCACAATAGAACCGGACATGCTTACAGAGGAAACAAATTTGAAATTGGCGCCAAAGAAAGTAGCTAAGCCCTGCTTTACAAATCTCTGGGAGTCTTATCACCAGCCCTTTAGCACGTTTTGACGGCGCAGAGCGATATGCGCATGCGCGTGCCAGCTGTTTCCGGCCACGTGTTGCGCCATTTTAGTGGAGTCCGTTGGTCGTGGTGGGAGTGTGTGCACGTGCTCCGGTATATGAAGTGAAGTGAAGTGAAGTGAAGTGCTCCGGGCACATGCCACCGAGTGATAGCTCTGGAATGATAGCTTAAATCAGCTATTATCGGTGGAATCCGTCGTGCGTGGCATGGGAGTGCGTGCCCCTGCTCCGGGAGGCAGTGAGGTGGAGGGAAGTGCAGTGCAGCAGTGCAGTGAAGTGAAGTGAAGTGCTCCAGGGCCGGGTGGTACATGAGCATTTGCCACCGACACATGCCACCGACACCGACGTTGATCGACTTTGGTGAGTCTGACACGTTGTATCTTTTGACATTATCTTATATTGTTTAAGTGCTTCATATTCCGACTTTGGCAAATCGCGCTTCTTGGTCTGAAGGAAAGTTGTGTTGTTTGCTAAAATAGCTCCCAACAGAAAAAAAAATCTTGGAACTGATCCAGATTTTTTTTTGCTCCAGGCATGGGGCCTGCCTGGTCAGTTCTTCCGTCGACTACCACTTACAATGGAGGACAACTACGACAACAACACGGGGTCTCCGGTTCCGTCTATCACTAAACGCCGTCTGGTCGTGGATGAGGTCGAACTTATGGCCATGAACGGAACGTCGGTTCAACGACCCCCCCCCCCCCGCCTCCCCCAGTCGATCTCGCGGTAATCGTCGGTCACTGCGAGTGTGCAGGTATATGAGCGACCTTTCGTTATTTCCCGTGCGTTTGTTTGTGTATATATTTACCTACATTTGTTTTTCATGCAGATGATATGAAGTGTTAATAAATGTTCCATTATTATTTTTTAATTTTATAATGTGTTGGATGCTTGAAAGATGCACTTACACGGGAATATTGCAGAATGCAAAACACAATCATTGAGACTTGTAGTTATCACTTATCTAGGATATAACCTTTTTTGAACGTCTTTTCGGCCTTACACAATTTCCTTTTTGGTAATTGATTAGTCCTTTTTGCAGTAACTAGTGAAAGTATGTGCTGCTAAAGAAAGCAGTTTTTGCGAACTTTTCATGCAGCAGCTTTAACTAGTATAGATAATCTACTTTCAGCCCCAATGCTTTCGTTAGCATTATTCTACTTGTCGTGGGGTAACAATAGCGCTAAAACGGTTCATATGTGAGTACGGAAGGTACTAACTGCATGCTATTCTTAGCACCTTTTAAAGTTTAGCACCGCTAGGGTACTGAAAATTGGTCTAGCAGGTGTAGGGTACTACATTTAGTACACGGGTGCTAAACAAATATGGGTACTTATATTAGCACCTTGATACTAAACTAGATCTCAGTTAAGTACGAATAAAATGCTTAGCTTAGCACCGCTAGGGTACTGAAAATTAGTCAATTGAAAAGTACCTCTATGGTGCTAAACTTTTTTTACAGTGTATAGTCACATGAGAAATAATTAACCCGCGCACCGACGGGGGGGGGCGGATATCCGCCCCCTGAGGTTTTCGCGAATAGCGGGAAAACCGCGGCGCGTAGCGCCGCGAAATTTGATATGACTATAACCTCATCAATTTTACACATGGTGTGCAAGTTTGAACCTCCTACCTTTTAAGGTCAGGTCACCAGGTCACTTTGAATGACCCAACCTCAAGTCACTTTTTTGCAACTTTGTCACCGTGCCAGAGCTACAGTAGATGTCGGAGGCCTTTGAAAATCGCCGGATATTATAAGGTCATTAGTAGCTACAATTTGTATATCTCGGAATTTTGATATCGGTGACCTAAGGTCAGGTCAATTTCGCGACCTCCCCATTATAAGTCTATGGGGGAAAAATCAACTCCCTGTTTTTACCACTAAAACGGGTCGGAATGGCCCCATATACCATACATGACTTCATATACGATCAACCTTCACTACCTTGAGGTCTGTTTTGCTGTTGGGCAGCTGTGAGGTCATGTGACGTCATCAAAGGTCACCAAAGGTTTTTGGCCAATAACTCCGTACAGGAACAAGATACAGACGCGTGGATGGTCTCATTGTGTTCAGCTCGTCAAGACGCATCGATTGATATACATGATGACCTCGAGGTCACGTGACCTTAGGTCAACCTTTGACCTTGACCTTTCGAGGTCAACATATATATCATTCGATGCGGATTGACGAGAGGATCACGATGATGCCCTTAGTTTGTTCCTATCTTGACTAATTCGAAAGTTATTCGAGAAAAACTCTCCCCATATCTAGCGCCGCAATTTTGACTTTTTCGACCCCTGTGACGTCATCTTTGACCTGACCTGAAAATGACCTGAGTAAAAATTGTAGATCTTGACCGTGCGTATCCGATGCCGTTTACCGCTTGTCGCTATCTTGCTTCGTTCTCGAGATCTCAGGGGGGGGGCGGTCATCCGCCCCCCCCCCCCCGTCGGTGCGAAGTTGGCGCAGACCCCCGTCGGTGCGCGGGATAAGCTGAACATTCCATGAGCAAGGTTAGCAGGCGAACTGGCGACGAAATGGAGAGTGTGGTACTTTTATCTGGGCAGACAATAGTGATGGACAGAGTGGGGCGAGAAACTATTAGCCACGTGCCTCGGGAAAGGCAGTGAGCCCTTGGGGGCATCGTTCGTAGCTGGCTGACGGTTTGTGTTCTGACTGACTGACCTTGGCCGGTGTGCTGGTGGCGCCCTCGGCGGTCGGCGGACGGAACGAGAAGCTCGGCGTGCTCGGCTGAGCAGGTGGTGCTGTGGTCGGTCCAAAGCTGAAGCCAGTGGAGGCGGCAGCAGAGGTGCCAGTCGTGGTACCGCCAGTCCAGCCCGACGGTGCCTGGTCGAGCTTGATACCGCCGTTCGTGCTGGAGACCGTCCCGGTAGAGGGCGTCGTCTTACTAAACCCCGACCCGAAGATGGTGGAAGCCGTCGTGGCGGGGGCCTTGCCACCGCAGGAAAACAGCTCTTGCGGTATGGGGAGCTGCTGCAGCTGTGGTGCCGCCTGCGCCTCCAGCTGCTTCTGGTTCTTCATCTGGTCCACCTCCAGCTGCTTCTGGTTCTTCATCTGGTCCACCTCCAGCTGCTTCTGGTTCTTCATCTGGGCCACCTCCAGCTGCCGAAGGGGCAGAAGGAGTGTCAGAGCTGGACACTTCAGTGACAACGGGACACTACCTAGGAGTACGACACACCAGAAAATGCACAACACTTATCGTTCCTCGCCATGCGATGAGATCCAACACAACATACCGGCGATGGTTAAATCAACAAGGATCAGTGAGATAAACATGGTCAGCACAGTGAAGGTCTCTGCCATTGATGATGCGGTCGGACATTGTTGTGACTGCACAGGCCACCCACCGCCGGGTTTGACGGACCAGCAGCGCTCCGTCCCAGTGGGCCTGAATCGCCGTCCCCCTGACTCACGCTCAGCTCCTGCAGCTCTCGGCGCAGCTGCCGCAGCTCCTCGTTCAGCATGCCGCGAGCGTCGGCCAGCACCGCGTCCCGCAGCTCGGCGGAACTCTGGGGCCGGGTGTGCGGGCCGGCCGCCGGCGGCGAGTGCTGTTCCGTCAGAGTTATGACGGCTTCCTTCAGACCCTGCAGCTCGTCGCACAGGCGGTCCATGAGGGGACGCACCTCCTGAGCGGAAAGTACAGGTCTCGGGCCAGCCACACCCTCAGGTCCGCCAGAAAGTGTCATTCCTTGGATAGGACACAACAATCATAAACACATACATACATCCGTGACGTTTCATGGTAGTCAAAAAACCCTAATTCGTTTCTTTTATGTGGAAGTTCCATCCCAGGTCTCTTCTCCCTGCGCACGCTTCGACCACTGTCCTGACCTCGACCCGAGGTCAACACCTTCAATCCGCGACCCACTGCACTGGGGGTTTTCTGCAATAGCTTCTAAACCGCTTGACGTATCGCCGCCAAACTTTCAGTACCTTCGGCTGCATCAATTTGATACTTTTTTTTTTAAATTTCAACTTCGTATCTATCATAGGTCGGCCGGAAATGACGTCAGAGTGAAGTCATGTTCGGCCGATTTCGACGCAAAACATTGAACCATTGGAATCGCTCCCAAGAGCTCAGTTTTTAACCCGCGCCCCAGTGGCGGTCTCAGCCAACTTCGCCCTAGTGGGGGGGGGGCATATGTTACCACCCACCTCTAACTCAAAAACTAAGAGGGCTAGAAAGACGCGGTAAAAAGCAGTCGATAGCTCTCAATGCGTACGTTTGAAAGTATTTCGGTCATTTTTCACCTTAGAGCAACATCGGGGTCACCAGACGTCATCAAAGGTCAAAATTTGCCAATTGTCATGATATTTTTCAGAAAACATGCCGCTATCTCAGGAACTATGGTAGCTAGAAAAAAGCATGGAAAAGCAATCGATAGCTTTTGAACTCTTCTTTTGAAAAGGTCGTTATCAATATTGACCTCAGGTCAACGGTTTAGCCTCCAGAGGACAAAAACTCCAAAAATAGCTGTTTTTACGAAAAGTGTTTTTCGACAATAACTTTCGACTACCAAAAGCCACCACATTTTTATTAACAGAATCGTGTTCCCCTCGTCGAGACGCGTCGAAAAAAACTATAATTTGACATTGAAGGGTAACTTCAAAATTTGACCTCAGGTCAAGGTCATGACCTTACCGGAAAAGGTCATGATGCATATCAGTCGATGCGTCTCAACAAGACAAACACAATGAGACGTCCCCCTGACTCACGCTCAGCTCCTGCAGCTCTCGGCGCAGCTGCCGCAGCTCCTCGTCCAGCATGCCGCGAACGTCGGCCAGCACCGCGTCCCGCAGCTCCGCGGAACTCTGGGGCCGGGTGTGCGGGCCGGCCGTCGGCGGCCACTGCTGTCCAATCAGAGTTATGACGGCTTCCTTCAGACCCTTCAGCTCGTCGCACAGGCGGTCCATGAGGGGGCGCACCTCCTGAGCGGAAGGTACAGGTCTCGGGTCAGCCACACCCTCAGGTCCGCCAGAAAGTGTCATTCCTTGGATAGGGGACAACAATCATAAACACATACATACCTACATCCGTGACGTTTTTTTTTTTTTTGAAAAAAATCACTGTGTATTTCACCCCGATCAGAATCTCTAGCGGTACAGACCAAGCGGATTCACTCGCGCATATGATTGAAGCAGGGAGCGCCACTGGCAGCGGACCCTAGCGGCGACCCACAGAAGCTCAGCCGCCGCAGAGCCAGAGAGCAGTCTCCACGGCTAGGGTGAGCACGCCGCTCGTCCTCGTCCCAAACACACAGCAACGTGCACCAGATCGTGGGTGCACCACGGTCGCGACAATGCAAAGATACTGATCTTACAAATACATGAACAATGCAGACACAATAACATCAAGCGCATACAAAAGTAAATTAATAAAGCACTAAGCACGCACACAAAAGTAAATTAATTATATAAAGGAATGCATACAAGGGGAAAGGGAGAAAAGATAAAGAAGAAAAAAGGGGGAATACGAAGAAAAAAAACGAGCGAAGGCACTGCCGGCGGAGCGGGCGGCAGCACCACCGGGCACCCCCACGACGAGCGGGCAGGACCGAGAAGCTACCGGGTGACAGTCGCAACGCCGCGCCAGCCGCCGGGCCCCAGCCGGAGGCCCACGACGACCGGGATGTCTCGCATGCACGTAGACTTGTGGGTAGGATGGGAGAAGGTTCCGGGAAGAATATGCCGTTAGTTTTAGGGCCCTGCCCCTGAAACAATGTTCGCGACAGTGCCCCACTTCGACTCAAACCTCTGAACAGAGTGCCGTTTTACAGCACTTTTATACTCTTTTTCGGCTTCCATTTTAAGCAAAGAGTGAAATTCTTGTTTACTTGGAGTATGTTTTTTATGTCTTGCTCTGGATATTACTAGTTTTGCAATTGTTATTATCAATATATTAAACTTGTCTTCATCCGCTAATCTTGGGAATATCCAATTTTCTACTGTCAATCTTAAAATCAAATTATATTTTTCCTGAAGATATCTTATTATTTCTTTCAAAAAATTTTTTCACTTTTTCACATCTCCACAAGATATGGTGTAGTGTTTCACTCTCTACGTTACAAAAAGTACACAAAGGGTTTTCAGACTTTCCAATGCGAACTAAAAAAGTGTTTGTCGATATTATTCTGTTCACTATGCGATAATGCAGTGTCTGTAAGTAAGTATTACATGTAGATTGCCGGATGTCATAAAGTGTACCTTCATGCATGCATCGTTTATCTCTATTCCATTTATATTTTATGTGTGTCTGCTTAAATGTATCTCCTTCGGGTTCGCGTAGCGCAAATACAAATTCTCTGTAGGCTAATCGTGATGTATTGAGTTGCCTTGCCAGTAACGCTATTTTGTATGGGAGTATGGGGTGTGTGATACTGCGAGCGGCTGCAGCGTTATCGTTATGATGTGGTATGCTTTTGGTCAGTGACGCGTGACACAAAAACGACATTTTTATGTTGAAAGAATTATTTAGAGTTTCTTTGTTTACAAGTGTTCCATTGTTAGTACAGTATAAATCAGCAATGAATCGCAATCCACTTTCATTCCAATCCTTGACTATGCTCGTTTTAAATTTGGTGTGATCGGAAAACCATAACTTATCTGTTAATATGTGTTCCGGCATTGCTCTAAAGTCCGAACAGAAATCTGCCCAAGCATTCAAAACGTCGCTCCAAAATTTGTTTTGCATCTTATTTTTAGCGATGTCCCTCAGCTTGGCTGCTCCGTAGCATACTAAGTCGCAGATTGGTGGAAGTCCGTCTTTGATATGATTCGCCCACGCTACATTTGAGCTACACCAATATAACCTTTTCAACCAACTAATTTTCAAGCCTTTAATAAAGGACATAACATCAATCATTTTCAATCCGCCTAGACCATAGTCCTGTACCAGCCTTTTTCTTTTTATTTTATCTGGGCCATCATTCCATATGTATTTAAAAATGATGCTGTTTATATCTCTTATTTCGTTTTTGCTTGGATTTGGTAGCGCTGATTGAATGTGTACTAATTTTGAAATCACCATTGATTTAACAACGGTTATTTTCCCTATTAGAGTGAGGTGGCGTCGTTTCCATTGTGCTATTTCTTGTTTTACTTTGGGAAGCACTTCGGTGAGGTTTTTTTCTACGATATTTGTGTTTGAGTTGCTAAATAGTACCCCTAGTACTTTAAGTTCTCTCACTACTTGCACCCCGCTGCTACTGAGAAATGAATTATCAATTTGCTTTCCTACTTGAAGACATTTCGTCTTATCAATATTTATGCGAAGACCTGATACTTTGTGAAATATTTCCAATTCATTAAGTGCCGCTTTAATTGAATTAGGTTCCACACATGAAAATAATATCATATCATCCGCATACTGCGATAACCTTACTTCCGATTCAGTTGTCATCGGTATGCCTTTAATATCATTCGCCTGAAGTATTTGATTTGTTAGCGGCTCCATCACCAAATTAAATAGATATCCCGATATGGGGTCCCCCTGTCTGATTCCTCTTTCCATTTTGATTTTAGGGCCCAGAAAACCATCCAACATTATTCGCGAAAAGTTGTTGGTATTGAGGTAAAAAGTGTTGATCATGTGTGTATAATAAGGCCCAAAGTTATAGTAATGTAGAGCTTCTGATAAGAACCCCCAAGAAACAGTGTCGAACGCGGCCTCAAAATCCACAGCCATTATTACGGAGCGAGCGAAGCGAGCGGAGTCTCATACTGAATTAAGGGAAAATCCTGAGTATGAGCGGCCGGCCGTGGGGACGCTCTTCAAAAGCTAATATCTTAGGAACGGGACATCCGATTGACAAGCGGTCTTCTTTACTGAATGTCACTTGGACGTAAAAGTTCTGTGGTGTGATGGCCACCATGCGTTCTTGCCAACCACCGCACGTGGCGCGTGGTAAAGTTGGACATTTTTAAGAACCCCCAAAATTGCAACCTCAATAACGGCACAACGGTTGGGCCGATTGAATTGAAACTCGGCACAGTTAGGTCTCCATCAGATAATTCATCTGCATGTGTTAAGGTTGGGGTGCTACAGCACGTGCGCACGTGCAGGGGGCGCTCCCAGATCTCGAGAACGGCTGGGCCGATTGCGCTCAAATTTGGTACACGGTTGGGGACCAGTTAGTAGGGTGCCGTGCAAAAGTCAGTTTGGACCCCGCTTGCACGTGCGCACGTGCAGTGTGCCGCTTCCAGATCTCGAGAACGGCTAGGCCGATTGCGCTGAAATTTGGCACATCGCTAAAGACCGGTTAGTAGGGTGCAGTGCACAAGTTAGTTGGAGGTACCCCCTCGCAATTTCGCACGTGCAAGGCCCATCCTCTCGCTCGCTCCGTTGGTCGCCCAAAAGGCGTTTTACTGGTTAAACCGGAAGATGATTTGCTATTTATATGTTCTATCACATCATACATTAGACGGGTATTCTCGCCAATGTACCGTCCTTTTATGTACGCAGTTTGGGTGGGTGTTATTAAATCATTCATCACGGTTTTTAATCTGTTTGCAATGGCCGCCGAGATAATTTTAAAATCAACGTTTAGTAAAGAAATTGGCCTCCAGCCTTTAATCGAATCTTTTGGCTTTCCCTGTTTTGGTATAAGAGTGACAATACTCTCCCTGTGGGATATAATAGAATTGTTATTTTCTAGGCTGTCTTTGAAAGCCCGAAATAGGAATATGCCGATAAATTCCCAAAAATGTTTGAAGAAGTCCGAAGTGAATCCATTACTTCCAGGAGATCTGCCTTTTTTCATACTTGCTAGCGCTGTTTGTAATTCCTGAAACGACAGAGGTGCCTCTAAGCGATTTCTTTGATCATTTGATAGTTTTCGCCTAATATTATTTTCAAGATATTCTTTTCTATGACATTCAGAATTGTTCTCTAAGTACTTCTTTTCCAACTGTTTAGAAACATATTGCAGTATTTCTTCTTTATTAGTAATAAGCTGTTCGCCGTCGTTCATACTCTGAATTGAATTTCGCACGGCATTTCTCTTTTCTAAAGAAAGAAAATATTTTGAACACTTCTCCCCTTCCTCAAACCATTGGACTCTGGACCTAGTAATTAATCCTTGAATTCTTGGAGCCCTTATTTCTTCTAATTTATTTTTAGCTTCATCTAACCGTTTTAGGTTTTCTTGTGTTCTGCATATATTAAAATATTCATTCATTATTTGAACTAGCAGACTGCTTTCTTCCGCTCTCTTTTTTCGTGCCTTTTGCTTAGAGAATCTCACTGTTTCACCTCGGATCATCATCAGCAAGGTTTCATAAAACAGACCAGAACTGATAGTGAAACAAATATTTTCAAAGTTCTTTGGATTAGATAGGTATTCATCGGTATAAATTGGCGCTGCATATTGTTTCACAATATTAGTTATTGTATCCTTCACCAATTCATTATATGATTTATCTTCAAGTAAAGAAGCATTAAATTTCCATAGTCCGGGACCTTTTTTTCATATGTGGCTCTCTGATGCCCAGAGATACAATACTGTGATCAGATCTATACCCAGGGTGGTGCGTAACTGATACTATATTATCCCGCGCACCGACGGGGGTCTGCGCCAACTTAGTACCGACGGGGGGGGGGGGCGGATGACCGCCCCCCCTGAGATCTCGAGAACGAAGCAAGATAGCGACAAGCGGTAAACGGCATCGGATACGCACGGACAAGGTCTACAATTTTTACTAAGGTCATTTTCAGGTCAGGTCAAAGATGACGTCACAGGGGTCGAAAAAGTCAAAATGGCGGCGCTAGATATGGAGAGGGTTTTTCTCGAATAACTCTCGAAGTAGTCAAGATAGGAACAAACTAAGGGCATCATCGTGATCCTCTCGTCAATCCGCATCGAATGATATATATGTTGACCTCGAAAGGTCAAGGTCAAAGGTTGACCTCAGGTCACGTGACCTCGAGGTCATCATGTATATCATTCGATGCGTCTTGACGAGCTGAACACAATGAGACCATCCGCGCGGCTGTATCTTGTTCCTGTAAGGAGTTATTGGCAAAAAACCTTTGGTGACCTTTGATGACGTCACATGACCTTACAGCTGCCCAACAGCAAAACAGACCTCAAGGTAGTGAAGGTTGATCGTATGTGAAGTCATGTATGGTATATGGAGCCATTCCGACCCGTTTTAGTGGTAAAAACAGGGAGTTGATTTTTCCCCCATTGACTTATAATGGGGAGGTCGCGAAATTGACCTGACCTTAGGTCACCGACATCAAAATTCCGAGATATACAAATTGTAGCTACTAATGACCTAATAACATCCTGCGACTTTCAAAGGCCTCCGACATCTACTGTAGCTCTGGCACGGTGACAAAGTTGCAAAAAAGTGACTTGAGGTTGGGTCATTCAAAGTGACCTGGTGACCTGACCTTAAAAGTTAGGAGGTTCAAACTTGCACACCATGTGTAAAATTGATGAGAGAATAGTCATACCAAATTTCGCGGCGCTACGCGCCGCGGTTTTCCCGCTATCCGCGAAAAACCTCAGGGGGGGCGGATATCCGCCCCCCCCGTCGGTGCGCGGGTTATTGATTAAGTGATACTGAATGTATATCCGATCTAGTCGGCCATATTTTAGAGGATTCTGCCTTGTCCAAGTGTATCCTTCCCCATGCGGATTTATTTCTCTCCATGTGTCTATTAAATCGTATTGTTCAATGATTTTCGAAAAAGCATTTCTTGCACCAGGTTTATTGTGTCTAATGTAATTAGAATCGCGTAAGCGATCTGTGACAAAGTTAAAGTCTCCACCAAGTATAATATTATTCGTTGTAAGTTCTTCTAGGTTCGTGTACAGCTCATCGAAAAAGGTTGGACAATCATCGTTTGGTCCGTATATTGATGCGATTGTGTATGTATTCAAGAATATGTGGCAAGCAAGAATGAGAAAATTGCCGTCTTGGCAACGTTCTTCATGAATTATACTATGCTGTACTTTCGGTTTGAACAAAATTGACACCCCTCGACTGTTGTACGTACCATAGGAGTGATAGCATTTTCCACGCCAAATAGTGTCAAAAAATTGCGCAGTTCTTTCAGTAAGATGCGTATCTTGTAACAAATAAATATCAAAATCGAGATTCTTAAGAAAGTTGACAACGTCTCTTCTTTTCTCCTGGGTCCCGAGACCCCTACAATTATAAGTCATTATTTTAAGTTCAGCCATTGCTTACCTTTGACTAAGAGTTGGATGAGATTTTGTGGTGAATAAGGTAAAGTGGTAGTGATCAGAAGGGAAGGGCATGGGCTAGAACTTGAAAGGGACAGGAAGATAGGAAAATCTGAAAGGAATGCAGTCGAGGCGTTCCCAGACGCCGGGGCCACCGACAGGAACCTCGGCAGCCAGCTCGGGCCGCAGGAGAGGTGACGCACCGAGCAGAGCGCCACCACCTCCGCCGCCAGCCCAGCAGCAGCCGATCCCGCCACAGAACTCGCAGGCACGCCCCGGATGGCGCCGCCGCCGCACGCAGCGCCGAGCCCGCCGCCAACGCCGTCAGGAAAGCGCCTCCCGAGGTCAGACTCCCGAGTCGTACCGACGCCTACCGGCAGACGGTATACAACGACAGACGAACGACATGACATGTGTACTATTATACAGAAATAACAGAGCAAACCCAATGGGCCTTGTTCGTACCACCACAAAACGCATTGCCCACATATTATCCAGATTAATTGTGGACTGCAACTGTTCTTTGCTGGCGAAACAAAGCGACAACAGCCGCGGTTACAGACAGTACAATAGAACAAACTAAAAAACACCTCGAAAACCATGCTAAGTTAACCGCCTAGAAGTACTCTCTGATGTCCTTATACCCAGAACGCTCACCCACACTGTCCGAGCCCTTTACACTGTGGCTGGGATCGCCCCAGACACGAGTACCCCGCACCCCAGCACCCGCCTTGCGGGAGCCCCCCTCTGCCCCTCTCTCCACCCCTCCCGCCCTCCCCCCGACGACTGACATCCCAGGATGACCCACCCCGCTGCCAGAGCCGCTCCCCGCCGACAGTGATCCCTCAGAGCCCTCGCGCTGCTCGACAGATGGCAGCACCTGGTACCCTCTCCCCGTTACCTCTCGCTGGCCGCTCTCCCCAGCTGACCGAGCGGGTAGAGGAGGCGAAGCGACCTCTGACGTCACCCGCAAGGGCGACTCCAGGCCGCCAGCCGTGGCAGGGCGGGGCGCGACCGAGGGCCGAGCCCCAGGAGACGCCGAGCGGCTCCGAGCTCCGGCGCGCCCGCCGCCCCCGTCCACCGACCGGTCAGCCGCAGAGGCGGCGCCAGCCGACGGCACCGCCTCCATAGGTGGCGAAAGCCGCACCAGATCGACAGGTGACATCCGGGCGCATTCCAGCAGCGACGATGAAGATGATCCACGGCCCGCCACGACGTCGGCGCCGGCAGGCACCGAACAGGAGACGGGAGCAGTCGAGTCAACGGCTCCGCCCGAACGCCGGGTCTCCAGCTCCATCACACCGCCGAGGTCCGACGGAGTGCGTCCTCTCTCCAGGGCGCTCCTCTCCTCCTCTCTCTCCGTGACTGGGTCCAGCCGACCTCTCTCCGAGGCCGGAGCGCGACCCTGGGTGGGGCGGAGAGGGGCACTCGTCTCCGCCAACTGACGCACCGCCTCGGGGTCAACGATGCGAATGGGTGCACAGTCGCGTGACCGACACACTAGAATGTCTCCGGATCTCGTGAAGACGGAGAAAATGATCCCCTCCTTCTTCAGTTGCAGTAGATCAGCGAACAGTGCCTGACGGCGTGGAGTGAGAGACTCTGAGATGAACAGTCCAGAACCCCTTAGCTTGGTCTTAGTCCTAAATAGGACGTCTCTATCAGACCCGCGCGCAGCCGTGGTAAAGTCAACTAAAACCTTACCATTCTTCAGCCGGATCATGGCTTTCACCTGAGAAGAGTCCAGTGAGTGCCTCAGGTGCTGCTGCACCCGGGACCGAATCAGGTTTGCGGCGTCCTCCCGGCGAGTCAGCGTCTGTATCGCCGGTCCAGAGAAGATGAGAGACGTCCGCCGCTCCTCCTGCTGCCGCCGGTCCTCACTCAGCTCCATCTGCTGGAGGCGCCGCCTCAGCTCCTTGGTCTCCCTCTGCAGCTGGATGATGTCCATGTCCGCTGAATTCTGTCGATCCGACACCGCCTTGAGGGAATCCATCGCGAACGACAAGGACTCCTCTATAGCCATAAGCCGTCGGTCGTTCGAGTCCCGTATCTCCTTCACGCACTTCACATTTTCTTGTGCGATAAACTCTTTAAGTTCAGCACAGATGTCTATATCACTTTGCTCACCCTGCGCTGGGGAGCACACTTTCCGCCTCTTGGGCATGACTGGCCCGCACACGGACACTGGCTATCAGCTGACCAGACTCGCTCGTCCAGACGGTCGCGCACGCAGAGCACCGCTCGCGCGTCCGACCCGGCCAAGGTCAACCGGCCGACTGACATCCGTGACGTTTCATGGTAGTCCAAAAACCCTAATTCGTTTCCCTAATGTGGAAGTTCCATCCCAGGTCTCTTCTCCCTGCGCACGATTAGACCACTGTCATGAGTCCTGACCTCGACCCGACCCTCGCCGGCACAGGTCATTTTGCGTCCTTCGACGGCACACGGGGGGTACGACCTCCCTCGCCTTTGGCCCCTGATCGAGCTAGAACTTCACGGTAAAAACGAGCGTGTTGCCCGTCACGTCAGAAAGCCGTTGATACCCAATTTTAACCCGCGCCCCAGTGGCGGTCTCGGCCAACTTCGCCCTAGTGAGGGGGGCATATGTTACCACCCACCTCTAACTCAAAAACTAAGAGGGCTAGAAAGACGCGGTAAAAAGCAGTCGATAGCTCTCAATACGTACGTTTGAAAGTATTTCGGTCATTTTCACCTTAGAGCAATATTGGGGTCACCAGAGGTCATCAAAGGTCAAAATTTGCCAATTGTCATTATATTTTTCAGAAAACATGCCGCTATCTCAGGAACTATGGTAACTTGAAAAACGCATGGAAAAGCAATCGATAGATTTTGAACTCTTCTTTTGAAAAGGTCATTATCAATATTGTCCTCAGGTCAACGGTTTAGCCTCCAGGGGGCAAAAACTCCAAAAATAGCTGTTTTTACGAAAAGTGTTTTTCGACAATAACTTTCGACTACAAAAAGCCACGACATTTCTATTGCCAGAATCGTGTTCCCCTCACCGATACGCGTCGAATGAACTATAATTTGACCTTAAAAGGTCAACTTAAAATTTGACCTCAGGTCAAGGTCATGACCTGACCGGAAAAGGTCATGTTGCATATCAGTCGATGCGTCTCAACAAGACAAACACAATGAGACCATCCCCAGCGTTCTATCTCTTTCCAATCGCGAGTTATTGGCAAAAAACTGTTTGTAGCCTCAAATGACCTCGGATGACCTTTCTAGAGGCTATCAGCAAAAATGACACCTTGGTCATCACGCGTGGACTAAATCATTGTGATTCTGAAATATTTGGACTGTTCCTATGCGTACACACGGATCTAGAGGCATTTTCGTTTTTCTCCATTGACTTGTAATGGAAAGGTCATGCCACTGACCTGACCTTAGGTCACGGATATAAAAAATCCGAGATATACAAATTGTAGGCTCCCATAACAGCATGCAATCCACCAAGTTTAAAACCTTTTTGACAAACACTGCAGGCTGGACATGATTGCAAACTTTTTTAACCCTCGCCGGCCGAGGGGGGGGGGCGGGTGCCGCCCCCCCCATAGGGTTTTTTTTCGCGATAGCTCCGAACACGCTGGCGATAGAGAGCTGAAACTTGGCATACCTGACCTTTGATCCAAGCCGCATCTTTTGACACCAACCGCGTTTTTGGGTCAGGTCAGGTCACTGACCTATGACGTCATAAGTGAACCTCTGCACGGTCTTCAGATGTCGCAACTTCGCAACGCCCTCACTGCCAGAGGAGATGTCACATGAAAATGAAACTTGCAGGATCTACTATCCATTATGAGTGTCACAACTTGTATATCTCGGATTTTTCCTAAAGGTCATATGAGGTCAGGTCATTTTCGTGACCTCACCATTATAAGTCAATGGGGAAAAATGAAAACTGCTATTCTGGCGCCGGGAACGATCTCCAACTATCTCAAGCACACAGAATCGTGATTTGATGCACTCCTTGCAAGGTTAGATGCGTCACTTTTGCAATGTTGACCTTGCGTGACGTCATTTATGACGTCATCAAGGTCATATTAGTTTTTCGTCAATAACTCCCGATCAAATTGAGCTAGCGAGTCGCGAAAGCCATCAATGGACTCAGGAAGACCTGCCGAATCGAATGATATGCGACATGACCTCTTTCGACCAACTTCGTGACCTGGGGGTGCTGACCTGACCTTGACCTGAGGTCAACACCCCAAGTTGACCTGACCCGAACAAAAAGTATATCATTCGACGCGCCTGAGCGAGGCGAACACGATGTTGCCAAAATCGCGGCTCTGCGGCCGTTTTTTGCGAAGTTATTCACCAAAAACTGAACCGTACTCTGGGGCACTTGACCTGACCTCAGAGGTCACCGGTTGACCTAGGACCTTAAAATCGGGTACCAATCTCTGCGTCTTGTAACGGCGCACACGCTCGTTTTTTCCGCGACGCGCTAGCTCTACCAGGGGCGAAATGGCGAGGGGGGGTCGTACCCGCCCCCCCCCCCCTCGGCCGGCGCGTATGTAGAAAACCAATAGGTCCGGCGAGGGTTAACCCTCGCCGGACCTCGCCGGACCTCGCCGGCTTGGTCAGTTAACTTGACCTGGTGACCTGACCTGACATGACCTGGGGTCAAAATTTTACACATTGTCCAAAGTTGATGTACCAAAAGCTACCCCAAGCGGCGCGGCGCTACGCGCCGCGGTTTTTTATTCACACGCGAATAACGCGACAGGGTGGTAACATATGCCCCCCCCCCACTGGGGCGAAGGTTAACCCTATTCCTGGCGGGCTCCGCCGGGACAAGAAACTGGCGTGGGGGCCGATTCGGCCCCCCCCCCCTCAGATCTCAACAACTACACATCGCAGCGACAAACGGTAAACGGCATCGGATTCGCACGGTCAAGATCTACAATTTTTTAAAAGGTCATTTTCAGGTCAGGTCAAAGATGACGTCACAGGGGTCGAAAAAGTAAAAATGGTGGCGCTAGATATGGAGAGACGGTTTTTCTCGAATAACTTTCGAATTAGTCAAGATAGGAACAAACTAAGGGCATCATCGTGATCCTCTCGTCAATCCGTCAATCCGCATCGAATGATATATATGTTGACCTCGAAAGGTCAAGGTCAAAGGTTGACCTCAGGTCACGTGACCTCGAGGTCATCATGTATATCATTCGATGCGTCTTGACGAGCTGAACACAATGAGACCATCCACGCGTCTGTATCTTGTTCCTGTACGGAGTTATTGGCCAAAAACCTTTGGTGACCTTTGATGACGTCACATGACCTCACAGCTGCCCAACAGCAAAACAGACCTCAAGGTAGTGAAGGTTGATCGTATATGAAGTCATGTATGGTATATGGGGCCATTCCGACCCGTTTTAGTGGTAAAAACAGGGAGCTGATTTTTCCCCCATTGACTTATAATGGGGAGGTCGCGAAACTGACCTGACCTTAGGTCACCGATATCAAAATTCCGAGATACACAAATTGCACATACTGGTACCCTAACTAAAGCCTGAAGAGAAGAAATTGATCGGTCAAAAACTCTAGCTCTGGCGTGATTGCAAACTTTTCTGAGGTAGGGTCACCAAACCGCCTCTGGTGACCTGACCTGAGGTCAGATCAACTCAAAATTTTCAGACATGTTGCATAGAAGCCTTTTAGGAAAAGTCAGAAAATTTTAGCTTCCTAGCTCAACGCGTTTGGGAGAAATAACCAAAAAACCTCAGGGGGGGCTCCTGAGGCCCCCCCCCCGCCAGGAATAGGGTTAAGGCCCTAGATCATCGGTCGACCTTCCAGGTCAGGTAAATGACCCAAAAGTCGGGGAAATCAGGACCTATCAGAACGTCGTATAGCATGGCTGTTATGTGGTTTTTCGGGGTGCAGATCACGAATATCATGTTATAGTTATGCCATCATAGATGATGTCTTCATGCATTTAGGCCAAGTCGGGTCAGGTCAGATCAGGTCACTAGTAAGGGTTTTGCCGGGTATTCGTAGTAGGTGTTAACCGCCTCTGAAGGCCTCGTAACGTGTTACGAAGGCACCAAGACTAAATCGTAAATGTTCAAATTAATGCTAAATGTGAATTCAGGCCCAAAAACTAGCCCAGAAGCCAGAAACATGAAAAATTCAAAAAAAAACTGAACCAAAGTCATCAAAGGTCAATGACCTGACCTGACCTTCCGGTGACCTTGACACCCACCCTAATGCCATGGGAGCAACATCATATCCCGCTCCCCGCTGGGGGTCCTGGATTTCCACACCCTGTTGGGGGGGGGGTGTTCGAACAGGGTTCCGGACAAAATATCGAAATTCAAAATATCGAATCGCAAAATATCGAAGGTAAAATATCGAAGTGACAAAATATCGAAAGCAAAATATCGAAATGGAAAAATATCGAAATGGAAAAATATCGAAGTTGCGAAATATCGAAAAGCAGAATATCGAAATGGCAAAATATCGAATCGCAAAATATCGAAATCGCAAAATATCGAAAGACAAAATATCGAAAGACAAAAGATCGAAAAGACATGATATCGAAAGACGAATTATCGAAAGGCAAGATATCGAAAAGGCAAAATATCGAAAGACAAAATAGGTATCGAAAAGACAAAATATAGAATGCAGAATATCGAAAAGACAAAATATGGAAAGCGGAATATCGAAAAGACAAATTATCGAAAGCAGAATGTCGAAAAGACGAAATATCGAATGCTAAATATCGAAAAGACAAATTATCGGTAAGGAGAATATCGAAAAGACAAAATATCGAAAGTAGAATATTGAAAAGAATCGCTGATGCACTGACATTTCCGACACTTCTATCTTTGAAATGAAAAAAACATCATAGGCTGTGTTGCTGTTGGGCTGGGTTAAGTTGGGCTGGGTTAGGCTAGATTAGGTTAGGTTAGGTTAGGTTGGGTTAGGTTTTATTAGGTTTGATCAGGTTTGATTATTATTTTAGAACAAATGCAACTGTTTCCTTCTAATGAAACGCCAATAACGGGAAGGGTTGAATCAAGTTATGGCTTAGTTGTCCACTGGTTTATCGGTTTACTGGTTAACTTGCCATCGGTTCATCTGTGACTGGTTTAGTTGTCACTGGTTCAGTTGTCATGGAATAAAGTTTTAGTGCCTCGT